TCATTGTCAGCCATGTGGATGAGTCATGGCCATTGCTTGACCAATTTTCTCTCTGTGAAAGCCTGAGAGAATGTTTTCTCTCCATGTGACTCTCCTGAGGTACACTCTACACTTTCCTCTGTGGCCCCATAATCCCCTTGATCAGAAAATTTGAGAAACCACTGAGTAACATGATGTTACATTACAGGTTCTCCTATCTCCTGAGTCCTCACTGACCTTGAAAGACTAGGGCCAAAACGTTGGTAAGATGACATCTTTTGACTAAGTCATCTGTGACTCCTCTGAACTAGCCGGCTTTACATCTCTCTTTTTTCCTTTCCGGCAAAGAACATTTTTTGTATTCTTTTTTAATGTATTTATTTGGTACAGGGTCTTGCTGTACAGCTCAGACTCGTAGTGCTCCTCCTGTTTCAGCCTCACCCTTGTGGGGATTGCTGGCGTGCCCTGCCATGCCTGTTCTCAGTGGCTGGCATGGCATGCAGTACAGGGGATCAAACCCTGGTCCCTGCACTTACCAGGCAGACGTTTAGACTGCTGAGCTATCTCCCTGGCCATTTCCAATATTCTTGTTGAGTAAGGAGTTGTATAAACCTCACTAGTTGATAATACTACCTTGATTGTCTCGGTTAATATTCAAAACTCCCATCTAAGATGGGTATTGAAATCTCAGGATAATTTTTTGCGAGTTTAAATTTCTTGAATAATATTGTTGCTATTTTAATAAGAATGGCACTAAATCAACAGTTCACTTTTGAAGATGTGCTGATTTGAACAGTATTAATGCAGATTTGGAAACAAGGGATGTCTCCATTTCTTCATGGCTTCTTGAATTTTATTTTTTTTTTAGAATTTTGTAGTTTTTATTACAGTGATGATTAACCTTTTAGTTAGGTTTATGCCTAAGTATCTAATTCTTTTTGAAGCTACCATCAATGGAATTTATTTCCTTATTTCTTTCTCAGTGGATTCTCTACTGGGTGCTGTTAAAATCTTGATACAGATTTTTATACCATGTCTCTTTCATTAATTGATTTACCAGCTTCAAGAGTCTTCTAGTGAAGGTGGAGAGAAAGTATTTTCGAAACACATAACCTGCAGAAAATTTAAAACAGGACTAAAGCTGTTTATATATGTGAAAAGATGGTGTAATTCAGAAATTGCAAAAGTGTAGTCTTGTAATACCCAAAGTATCACTAAACATCAATGTGGTCAAATATAAATATCACACATATTTTTTAAAATGCAAGTTTCAAAGTAGGAAAAATACACATGAGAAGTCTTGGACACATTTATAAATAAACATTAGAATTACCAAGAATAAAAGTGATACCTCTACCATTTATGCTTAAGAAATTTTACTTTGAGTTCTAACAAGCAGAAGGGTATAATGAAAAATCAGACCATCAAAGGCGATAGAGTAAAACATTCTCATCAAATAATAGCAAGATACTTTTCTTCTCTTCATTTGGTTGACAAAAGTAAGTAACTGCCTGTAATTTTTTGCCTGCACATCTCCGTGTTTGGATTCATTCAGATGTCTGTGCAGGTGTGAGGGATGGCAATGAACTCTCTGCTACAAAAAGTGAAGGGGAATAATAATACTTTCACTCATTTTCCTGTGTTCAAATGCCTTCCAACAGACATAGGTACAAAATTAAGTTTACATTGAATTATTGTTCTAGTTAAACAGAAACAACAAGCGGTGATTGTCAGTGAACTAAATGCACTCCTAGACCAATCTGAAATCCAAGCCTCAATTAATATTTGATTAACTCTTAATGACATTATGCTATATAACAACCATTATGAATTGATATTACTTTGTTTAGTGAAATTCTGCATCGTCTCTATTTTCTTTGCAATTTTTGTTCTCTAAAAAATGCAACTTAAAATTACATAAATTATGAGGTTCAAATATAGAGTAGGAGCTTTATTATAGTACAAATCATTTCTTGGTAATCTTGCAAAGCCTAGTAGCAAGTAAATTTACCTTGATCAAATATCTACCATGACGCTAAAATTTTAAAATGTAATGATCTATATTAATGTATAAAACACAATAAAAGTGATGAAATGCCTGTGGTTCACATAGGTTGAATAATATTCTCATTATTTGTACATGTGCTATGCCATGGAAGTTATTATTTATTTGATTTGACAAATTGAGTCCCAAAGATCAGCCACAGTGTAATTGCTGTGCTTGTGAAAATTCATTATATATTTGGTACAGAAATTGTTTTACATGATGTAATCCAAGAAAATTATTCTAGAGGGACAAGGACATCATACAAAACAATCTCCCCATATTTAAGTAATGTTTAATGTCACTGCCGCCTGAAGACTTCACCTTAAGAAATACTGGACTTGTTGCTCCATTTATTGTGCATCACTGAAAAGCAGCATTAACTGGGCAGAAAATCACCAGCATAACTTAAGTGCTAACAAAGGCTTTGGAGGAGCACAATTTTTGTATTCTTTAATTCAATAATTTAAATGTTATTTGGAATGTCTATCAGTTTCTGAGTCCTGCAAGTCAAAGTTATTTATTTTATTTATAGTACTGTGAGGAAAGCGAGTAGCATACAAAGAAAGATTTATTTATCAGAAGGTTAATTAACAAATTTAAAAAACAAGACTCAATTTTTTTTTGAGGGGGGGATAGCGTTGATTTTGTTTTGCGGAACCGGGGATTGAACTCAAGCCCTTGAGCTCACCAGGGAAGCACTTATTCTACTGAACTGTCTCCCCGGCCCCCAGGACTCAACTTCAAGCTTAACAGAAAACTATAAATGATGATTTGTGTGTCAGGAGGCTGATACAAGAAATCACATACACAGAAGAGGGAGAGAACTGAAGCTAACACAGCAGCTAGAAAGAGACAATGCAGAGCTGGGAAATGAGAACGAAATAGATGACAGTGCTAAAAATAGACTTATTTGGGGCCAGGGAGAGGGCTCAGTAGAATAAGCACTTGCCTGGCAAGGACAAAGGCCTGAGTTCAATCCCTGGTTCCTCCAAAAAAGAAAAAAATAGACATTTTTGAGGAAAAATGGTTAAATAATTGTTTGATAATTGCTTATCGGATATTCGAAAAATGCATGAAATATATTTCTTGCACTTTCCTACTTCTGAGATGTGATGGAAGATGTTCCCATTCCGGAGTGAGTTGGACAGAGTGGTTTTGAATTGATGAATTATCTTTGAATATGCAAATTATTGATACTTAAGGAATATCTAATCGAAGTAGCCAGGTAAGCAAGTACATATGTTTGCCTGGGATTCATGGAGGAAATTTGGGAAGTTGAAAGCGTTTTTAACAGATTAGCAAAGAGGAGCAGTGTTTCATTTCAACAGATGAATGAAAATACTGAAGGCTTTGGAGTTTGGTAATATTTGTAAAAGCAAAAAGTACACAGATTTGCCAGAACACCAGAGAAACTGACAGGACAGTAAAGATTAGAGATATTAGCTAGTCAAGAAGTGGAAGACTATTTTAAAAGGCTGCAAAAAAATTTCACAGTTATCATTATGAGATCATACCCTGGCCTCTGAAGCAGAAGGCTTGATCAAAACTACATAGACTATGATGAGCTCATGTTGAAAAATTCAACATATTTTAGTCACCTGGAAAGAGCCACTAGATTGCCTTCTGAAGGTGTCTGAATGACTAGCTAGCACCAAAATGTCAGCCTCTCTGAAAACATACCATTTGTGTAAAGTGTAAATTTAGTTTACAGTCTCAAGAACTGATACTTATTCTACTTTACAATAATTTATTATGAGCACATGAATAGAGATTAGTCGCAAGGCCTCAGGTTCCATATCTGAAATTAAGATTATAGCCTTATTGGCTATATATAGCATTACTAAATTGAAAAATATCAAACCATCTCCACTGGTCAGAAGAAGAACTTTGAAAAACAAAAAAACAAATAAATAAAAGAGTTTTAAAATTTTCTCTGTCTTAATTAATGAGGGATTATTTGCATATGCAAACTACTCCTAGATGTTCTGATCTTTAACCTCACTTTCAGGTATTTGTAGCCACAAGACAAATACACTTTATAATTACTTAAAGAACTTTTTTTGCATGTATTTGATGCAGGGTCTCACTATGCAGCTCAAACTCATAGTGATCCTCCTGTTTTCAGCCTCCCCAGCTTTGGGATGACAGGTGTGCACCACCACTACCGGTCTTGGTGGCTGGCTTAAGTCACCCAGGGGTGGAGCCTGCTCTGCATGCAAGACTGGGAATTGAACCCGGGTCCCTGTGCTTGCCAAAGCAGGAGCTTAGTCTGCTGAGCTATCTTACCATTCCTTTAATGAGTTTTTAATACTGCTCTATATAGGCAAAAAAAAATCCAGACTACCTCTATTATAGTGTTTGATATTTATTTCATACATATATGAAGTAAATTAGTTAAGAAGTAACCAGTAAATATGGTAAAGTGATTTTCTATCCATTTTTTTTAAATTTTTGTTTATTTGTTTGTTATGTATCTAATACAGGCTCTACAGGGTCTCACTGCACAGATCAGACAATATTTAAGATTTTTATATAATCTAGAGTCAATTAAAAAAATACACTTACCAATGCTAATGAAAAATAGCCAAGGGAAATAGTATAATTTTCATTGAAGAAATCCAATACTTGTAGAAAAGTGGTTTATCTGATGATACAACTCCCAAACATTTTTCTCTTTTAAGCTATGGATATGAGACAGATTACTTATGAAAATGTTAAAATACCAATTAATATCTTCTTAAACCCAACAGAGTTGCAAGTTTCAGAATTTTGTCTATAAACCCCAATTCATTCATTGGACAACAATGGAGGAAATTCATTGAATATCTTTGCCATGAGCCAGACGGAAAGAATCATAGCTTACCTACCAACTGATTATTGCCTACAGGAAGATCATTATCTGTGGGAGGTGTAGACAGAAGGATTGATTGTAAAAATAGATAAATAAATAAAAACAGCTTTTCGAATCTCTTCTATGGCTATGGGCAATCACTCATCAGTGTCTGATTTCATCCTCCTGGGGCTCACAGATAATCCAGATCTCCAGGCCATTCTCTTCGGCATATTTCTAGTTGTCTACTTAGTCAGCATCATGAGTAATCTTGGACTGATTGCTCTAATCCAAGTCAGTCCCCAGCTGCACACCCCCATGTACTTCTTCCTCAGCCATCTGGCTTTTATCGACTTTTGCTTTACTTCCGCTGTCACCCCGAACATGCTGGTGAACTTTCTGAGTGCAGTGAGAAGAATTACATTTCTTGCCTGTGCCGCTCAGGTGTGCTCCTTCATCACATTTGCCGTGTGTGAAATGTTCCTGCTCTCCATCATGGCATATGACCGCTATGTCGCCATCTGCAACCCGCTCCTGTACGTCATTCTCATGCCTAAGAGACTGTGTGTTCAAATGACTGCTGGCACTTACAGCTACGGATTCACAGTCGGTCTGATACAGGCAGTGGCCACATTCCATTTGTCATTTTGTGGCTCCAACGTGATCAACCACTTCTACTGTGACGATGTTCCCCTCATTGCCCTGGCTTGCTCCGACACTCGTGTCAAAGAGCTAATGCTGTTAATCATCGCAGGGTTCAACACCCTTTGCTCTCTTATGATAGTGATTATCTCCTATGCCTTCATCCTCTTTGCCATCCTGAGGATTCATTCTGCTGAGGGAAGACAGAAAGCATTTTCTACCTGTGTGTCTCACCTGATTTCTATCTCAATATTCTATGGGACAATTATCTTCATGTACCTGCAGCCTAAATCAAGCCATTCTCTGAGCACAGATAAAATTTCTTCAGTGTTTTATGTGGTAGTGATTCCTGTGTTAAACCCACTGATCTACAGCTTGCGGAATCAGGAGGTAAAAAGTGCCCTGAAGAAAACTGTACAAAAGATATGTCTTATGTAGATCTGAAATTTGGAACATGGTGGCAAGCACAGTGTCCACACCACGAGCTCACACTCACTGTGCATCATCCCATGTTTCATTTTCATAAATTCTGCTTTATCCTCATTTTATAAATATTAAAGTGTTGAGGTTTTCTAGGAGAAAAGAGAGAAAGAGAGAACGTTCCTTTTGCACTTGGTGTTTTTTATTAGTATACATTTTCTGTACTTACGACCATACACTGAGGAACTGGTAAATATGCATAAGGCATCATAACCCCTTTTCCTTTTCTCCCTCTCTCCTCTTTCCATCTCTCACTCTCCTCCAACTTTTCATCAATTATTGAATAGTTGTGAAATAGAGGCTGTGTGTGAGCTCTGTGTGTTATTCAGAAATTTGAGTTATATTGAAACCTGATTTGTTGTTTTCCAAGTTTGCTGCATAAATAAATCTGAAGAAGTAAAGTTGCATATCAATTTAACTCAGTTCTTTAAGACAAAAGTTTCTTTCTCAGTCCTCCACTTCTGCTTGTGAAGTGGATGATTTGTATTTACTTACTGATTCAGCACAAGATCATGTCACTTGAGCCTCTTCATGGCGTTATGTCTCACAACCAGCCCCACAGTCAGCGGACGATTAGGAATTGTTCTCTCTGATCTACTCTGTGATGGACTCTTGGCTGGTTAACAAGTACGCAATGAACCACTATCAGTGGTGTAAATTATCTCTCACTGTTGATCCTCTACTCTCTAAATTGCAGAAGGCAGTAATGGCTGCTTCCCTCTGGGTTGACTTGAGAATTTTTTAATTAATTTTATTGAGAAGGAAATAGCAATGAGACAGTTTCAAAACAGATTAGTAGGACAGTTACAATAATTAATACATTGCATATTGTTATCTTTGTAGTAGTTATTCATAGTACAAGATGTAGACATGATACCTTATCCAATCACTATTGTGTCCAATCACAAATCTTTCTTCTCATTGAACTAAGACAAAGTAGCTGTATATCTATTCTATTTTGTACATACGTATCTATCTATATACATTTTTCCCTAGAAAATGGTCCTGCATTTATATTCCCCTTATTTGTTTAGTTTTTCAGAGTTAGGTATTCCATTGTCATTCAAATATTGTAGGTGCATGAATTCAGCAAAATAATCTAATACGGTTCAGGAGTCCTGAATAGTAGTGGATTATCCGCAGAACCGGCAATGTCAGAAGTTGTTGATTTCTGCCTTTTATATCTCAGCGTACTAATATGGTTTTACTTTATGTTGTGAGGTAAAAATATCATTAAGCTTCTCTTCTGAAGAGTTATCAACTTAAGTTTACAGATCAAAAATTAGAGACAAAAAGGGCTACAAGGATAGGCAACATTTTTGCCCTAGTCTTTCAAGGCCAGTGAGGACTCAGAACATAAGAGAACCTCTGCTATAACATCCTGTAACTCTGTGGTGTTCCAAATTTTCTGTTCAAGGAAATTATGAAGCCACAGAGGAAAGTGATCAGCGATGTAGAGTGTGACTAAGGGGAGTCACCTGGAGCGAAAATATTCTCTCAGGCTTTCACAGAGAGCAAATTGGTCAAGCAATGGCCATGACTCATCCAGATGGCAGACACTGACAAAAGATCTACAAAGTATGGTACAGGGTTTCAGAGTAAATCCTGAGGGGATTTGACTGACCTTGTCAGATACAAAAGTTACATTTTCTGTTACATAGGTCTTGCTTTAACTTTGTCTTACCCATCCAGCAGAAAAATATAAACATGGATTGACTTGAGATTAATGAAGTTAGTAAACGTAAAGGATATTTCTAGTTCTAGCCCATGAAGGGTGTTTCACAAATATTGGGTATAACAATTATTCAACCTTGTTTTGTAGCAAGATCCAGATTCAGTTTTATTCAATCCTAGAACAGATGTTCAGGATTACTTTATTAAATTCCAAGTGCTAAATAAATAGGTGGATTTTGTTTTTAAAGGGATGGTTCTCTAGACAGCACCCATATAGATACATTCAATGTGCTGTATAATGTCACAAGGATCACAACAAAAAGATGAAAGTGGTCCTTGTTATGATGCACATGGATTCATTCAGGCTTGCTGCATTTCATTCTAGGGGAGGAGATCCTCTGGCTGCTCCAATCAGACATAGCCAGATTCCAAAGAGGATGTGACTCTAGTATTCAACTTTAACTTTGAACAAGTTCCTGCGAGACCTGCAATAAATGTAGGACCCATTTTTCTAATCCATGAGATGAACTATTCTATATAATTTTTTTAAAGATAATATGGCCCCTCTGATTATGTGTAACTCAGACTTAGCCCTGAGACATCAGTGACAGGAAACTTTCAAACAGAAAATAGCTTTAGAAATTTAACATTCTAAAACAGAAAACATGAAGGGAAAATGATAGAAACAGGATAATGAAGGAAGCAGGTTAGTGATAGGAGGACCAGAAAACTTGAAAGGATCTATGATGGGTGTCTATGTGTGTAAGCTTATACAGTGGAAACTCCAGACATTCAATTGGAAATTTTACATGTAATGGACATAATTGTATCTTATAGCATCAGTGACCAGGCGCAAGTACTCATTCATCAAAGAGAAAGTAGGTTTATTTTTTAAAATGAGCAGAGGAAGCAAAACAGTATCAGACAGGATTGACTCTCAGAGACCTGCAGCATGGTACTAATCACTTTCCCATTGCTGGGATACCTAAAGCTTAAAGGATGAAAAGTTAGTTTTGGCTGATGGATTTGGTCTATACTCAAGTTGTTGGAAGGGAGAAGCAAAATGGCAGAGGTGTTTAGCAGAGGAAAGGATACTGAGCACATGGCAGTCAGGAAGCAGAGAGAGAAGGGAGGGGCTGGGGCTGTGAACAAGAGCACTCATGACTAAGTCACTCGCCTCACAGTATAGCCACACGCTGACGTCATCGATGACGCCATCATCCTTTCACGAGTTCCTTTCCCTCAGACCCCAGTCATCTCCAGGTATGGGAGACTTCTAGAGATGCTTCAGATCTAAACCACAACAGGAGTTGAGTAATTAATAAAATTTTCCCAGAAGTGAAATACAGAAAGAACCTGCTAAATTTTAATGGATTTTACATAATTTGAACGCTTTCAAGGCAAACAGACATCTACTTCAAGTTATAAAAATAGAAAATCGTTATTCCTAAAAGAGTATCCAGACATAAGCTGGTTGATAGGCCAAACATTGAAGGAATGAAGTAGAGGATACCTCACCTTAGGATCATGGGGAACAACAAAAAGTAATGCAATTCACGCCTCCCTCAACCTTTCCAAAAGAAACCTATGACCTCTTACAAAATGTTTTTAGAGATATTGTATGCTCCTTCCGAATTCACATTTGATCCCCAGAAATCTGAAATATCTGCCATGTTCAACTGAAAGTAAGCGCTAATGAGTGTCAGATAATTAATGGACTTTTAGCCAAGGTCCACTCTCAGTGGCCCCCGCACATCCCTAAACACATCCTGTGATCATTTCTCCATTTCCAGATTATGGAATTGGAATAGGAATATTTGAAAATTGACAGAATCTATATGTTGATCCTCTAAAATGTGCAATGAGGCTTGTTATAATGGAAAATTCCACATGGACACATTTAGATTAGACTCAAGCTGGAAAAATAGTGCACAACTCAACCGGGGGGGTGCATCTAATTGCACCTGCCAACTCAGATGCAATTTCCTTGCTTGAGCGGATTAACTCATCTCCTAATACCTGGAATCAGTTCTCGTTTTGGAAAATGACTTTTCTCCATACCTATTTATGAGGACCACCACAAACAATTTGCCTTTACTCATCAGACTCAAGGGTATGTTTGATTTAAAAAGTCCATCACTGTCCAACCCCAAGTCACAATCCTGTTCATAGACGTATTTACTGTCTTTTTCTTCTATAATGTCTCAAACTGGTCCACTGCATTGACAATATTATGCTCTTCAGACCAAGAAAGCAAGAACTAGCAAGCACTCTGGACATGGTGAAGCACGTGCATGTTAGAGGATGGAAAAATAAATCCAAATTCAATGTCCCTCTGTCTCAATAAAAGTCCTAAAAGTCACTGGTATAGGACATGCAAAGATACCTTCCCTATAGTAAAGGATAAATTGTCGCACCTGATCACCCTTAAAAAAAGGAATAATCCCTACAACTTCTAGTTGGATTTGGAGATAATGCAATCCTCAAGTGGGTGTACTACTGCAGCTCGTTTCCTGACAAACGTAAAGCTAGGCTTTGAGAAGGGGCCAAAAGAAGGGATGGCTCTGTCAGAGGTGAGGCTCCTGTGCAGAAGAAGGGACACTTCTGCCTTTCCACTTGCACCGTATGATACAGCTGGACGGTGGTCCTCAAGTTCGTGGTGGCACTCAGGATGCCAGCTGGCCCCTCTGGAAGGCACCTATAGGTTAATCTCAGGGGAGGAACTCAGGGGTTTGGAGTAAGGCTCCACCATCAACCACAGACAACCACAATCCCTCTTGATGTGCAGCTGGGCTTTAGGAGAAGCTGAGCCTTTGCTTCTAGAACACCCAGAAACCTGAGTTTCCAATAAGAATACTGCATGATAGCACATAGCATAGGACTCCTGAGCCATAAAATCAGGACTTCACAGCAGCAATCCATCCTCATGTAGAAATGGTATATATGTGGTCAGGCCAAAGCAAGTCCTGAAAGAATAAACGGTTAGCACGAAGTGCCACAGATCCCCAGGATTCCCTTCTGTCTTCTGGCATGATGAGCCTATGATCTGCTGACGGAGCAAGAGAAGTCTGCGGCCCAGTGGACTGAGGCTTCTGCATTCCACTACTGTCCCCTTTCAGGACAGAAAGTGGAGAAGCAAAATATTCAGAGTGTGGAACTTTGGGCAGAATACCTGGTGGCACATTATTCTCTGAAGAAAATTTCCAAATACACGGCTACATAATTAATCTTGGATGCTACCCAATGCCTTGGCTGCATGGTCAGGAAACTGACAGGAATATGACTGAAGAAATGGTGACAAAACCTTTTATACAGATGTCTGTGGCTGACCTCTCATCCTTATGTGGAAGAAAGTGGGGATATTTTTGTGCTGTGTAAATGCTCAGCAAAAGACTAGCTCAGAGAGTAGGGCTTGGAGGGCCCATTCTATGAATAACAGTCACATTTAGGTTGAAGAATGGATTAAAAAATGATGTGGTATTTTTACACAATGTAGTGTTATTCAGCCATGAAAAAAGATACACTCCAAGATTTTGTAGATGAATGGATGCAGCTAAAGACTACTGGTAAGTGGAGTAGATCAGATTCACATGTGCAAACATTGTAGTATCTTGCTTGTATGAGAACCTGAAAGAGTAATTAAAAACTAAATGGTAAAACAGATATTGTGAAAGGGAAAGAAATTCTTCAATGGGAAGGAAAAACTGGGATGAGGAAAAGGTCAAACAAAAGAAGGGGAAAAGGTATTTAGGTTTATATGCAGAATAGTTTGGGTAACAGTATTGTTGGTTTCTGCTAGTCTTTTTTTTTTTTTTTTTTTTTTTTATTTTGGGGAAGGGTCTACAGGCTGTTCAGGGTCTCACTACTAGATTGGACTCATAGTGATCCTCCTGTTTACAGCCTCCCAAGAGCTGGGATTACAGGTGCGTGCCACCACACCCAGTCCCAATTGCTGCCTCAGCGTGCCCTGGGGGTGAGACCACCACAGCAGGCCTGAGGATCAAACTCCTGGTCCTAGCACCTGCCTGCAGACACTTTAATCCACTGAGCTATTTGGCCAGCCCTTCTGCTAGTCTTTTGAAAAGAGCAGTTAATGCTTCAAACTTTTTTTTTTTTACTCTGATTTATTCCTCTTTTAAACTTTCTATAACTTCTTTGTTATTGTTCTGTGTTTTCTTTAAACCAATCTCACACGTTTATATCTGGCAATCTGAACAACTAATATGAAGACAGCGTCATGCAGTACAGCAACCGTTGTTGACTTCCTATTACTTTGTTTAGTGAAATCCTTTCTCATTTCTAATGCTGTTTATTTTTTCTATCACTATTTTGTATTCTTAAAAAAAAAAAAAACAGTCCCCATCTTTCCTCAGTCATCTCTGTCAGTGCCCAAAGGGCTCATGAACAACGTGGTCACTGCAGCAGTGACGGAGGTTGTGCCTGGACCCTGCAGTGTCTAATCTTCTGTAGCAACGGCTGAAAACCCAGTGCATCCTCAATTGAGAACCACACAGAGGCTCTTGTGTGGCACCATTTCTTAAACAATCAGCCAGTTTCCTGGTGGTAATTTGATTATACTGGGCCCCTCCAGCATGAAGATCAATGAATTTACCTCCTACACACCTAATACTTTGGCTAAATGAGCATGCAATTTGGAGTAGCCCAATGCCTCAGCCAGGATCGCAGTATGACTTACAGCATTGCTTCTGACCATGAGTGCACTTCACAGCTGGCAAAGCGCAGCAATGACTCATGCTTACAGTGTCATTGGTTTCATCATGATCTCCATCATCCAAAAGCAGTGACAGAATTGATAGCCATGAAGGACTGATAGCATGGTGGAGTGGCCTTTTGACAATGCACTTATAGTGCCTCCTAAGTGACAATACCTTGCAGGATCAGGAAAATGTTTTCCAAAAGCTTTAAAGGCTTGGAATAAGTGTATAAAATATTTTCCTTTACTCCCATACCCAGGATTTATGGATCCAGAAAAAAAATAGTATCACTCACCATGACCTCTAGTGAGCCAGTAGTATAATTTTTGCTTGCTATTCTTAGATATTATTCTCTGTTGGCCTACAAATCTGAGTTCCACAGCAAGGAAGACATATACCAACTTGCACAAATATTATTTTATTAAACTGGAAGATGTCCCCCAGGATATTTGTGGCTCTTCATGCTACCATGTCACCATGCAGTGAAGGACATCACAGTGTCAAATGGGGGTAATCACCAGATTGGTCCAGACTCCAAGAAGAAACTGGATGGATACTCCATACTGAAGTGAAGAAATAGTTTACATGGAGGACGAGAAGATTCCTCAGGGCCTCAGGACTACCCTGCCCTCTTACTGAGGTCAATAGTAACCCACAACAACCCCATCAAGGCAGGATGACAAGTGACCCAGACACTGATGAAATGATCACATGTACTATACTGACAGGTACACAACCAGGAACAGTTGAGATGACTGTTGAAGACCAAGATGATATTGAATGATTACTAAAGAAGCGAGTTATAAATGCCAGCTATGACCACCGGGCCAGCTACATACATGGTGATTGTAATCACCACAAGGATTACTTTCCTATTTTTTTCTTTGCATATTGTTGCCATGCAACAAACACTGACTCACATTACATCATTCCTCAGGCGTTATTAAAACTACATGATGTTTAAGTTATGTAACTGCCTGGGAAGCATGAGAAACACACAGAGAAAAATGTCACACTCTTTTCTGGTGAAACAAATCATCTTTGTGTTTGTATGAATGAGAGTTGTACTTCGTGGAATAAAAGGGAAGGAAGGGCCAATCTGGCATGCCTTCTTGGGAAACCCCACTCAGCTGGAGCGGGTATTTCTTTTGCTGTTGGGGTGAACAGCAGGCTCCAATTCTGTCATTTTCCCAAGACAGACTCGTTGCGGGGATTCTCCAGGAGCTTCCAGACCTCCACCACAGCCCTTACGCTACATCCATGACCCCGCTTTTGCATGGTTCTCAGTTATTTAGGCTGAGAAGCTACTAGATCTCCAGCTCTGTAGCATACGCATGGCCACTGTGGACTGTCACACCTCTGGTACTGTTAGCCTGTGTAAGAAATCATTTTGCACAATTATACATTTATTTTCTACCTATTTAGTTCCTCTGGAGAACTACAATACAATAACAAACTCATTGCATATGTATGTTATTTCTCATACATTAAATACTTTATCATTTATTATACATAATACTCTCACTCAATAAACTGATACTATAATCAAGTGTTTACTTTTGATTAATTAGGTCCCAACAGATCAACCATAAAGTAATTGCTAATACTCATATTATCTCATTATATTTTTAACTCAACAATTTTTTGCTATGATGTAATGCAATGGAAATAATCTGGAGAGATGAAGAAATCATATAAAGTAACCTCACGATACTTAAGCATTAAAGCAGGAGCCTATAATTGTTGTTATCCAAAGATTTTGCCACAGGTATCTAGTGCTCCCTTTGTTTTGTTGTGCATTACTCAGAAACAACACACAGTGAGAGAAAATCAAGGTAACTGAATCTGTGAGAGATTTTGGAAAAGCACAGTATTTGTGTCACCTTGGCAACTCCTTCAGTAAGGTACTTGGAGCATCCAAGGACTGATGAGCCTTGGCTACCAAAAGTATTTATTATGTTAAGAATATTTGGGCTCTGCTTAGACAGAGTGCAAGGACTGGGGTTTGATCACTGGCACCACATGCCATGCCAGCCCCGCCCCAGGGGCATGCTGAGACTGCAATTGAGACTAGCTCTGGTGGCACACAGCTATAATCCTGGCGCTTGGGAACCTGAAAACAGGAGGATCATTATGAGTCTGATCTGTGTAGTGATACCCTGTAGACCCTGTACTGCATCCATTAACAACAACAAAAAAATTTAGGCTAGGGAGATACCTCAGCAGTCTCAGCTCCTGCCTGGCAAGTACAAGGACCCAGGTTCAGTCCCAAGTGCCACATGCTTTGCTGGCCCCAGCAGCTGAGTTGGCCACTGAAACTGGGTGTGGTAGCACGTGCTTGTAATGCCAGTAGTGGGGGGACTGAGACAGGACGATCACTACAAGTCCAAGATACCCTATATCTAAATAAACAAATAAATGGAAAAAAATTTCAAAAAGAATATTGCAAGGAATGGCTTTAGTGTGCAAAAAGCATACTCTTAGAGGTTAACTGAACCATGACAGCAAGTAAGGACTTGATCCTCAGTTGAATGAGACACTATGAGCTGTGTTTTGCATTTCACAAAACACCTAAAGGTGCTGTGTGTGCAAAAGTGGTGGCCACCCAGGTGATACAGCGAATAAAAACTACTAATTCAGAATTGGCCCTTAAGGCCTAGCAAAGCAAAAACATTTGTGGGTGAACAGCAGAGGTACACATGAAATACATTTTCCTTCATTTTCTTGGGTTGATGACTATACAAAAGCCAGCATCATTCACTGAATGTATATAGATCCATCCTAGTGCAGTGCAATTGCTTTTGTTTGAAGAAATTTTTTGTGTGTATTTTAAATTTAGGTAGCTGTGGGATATCTAACTGAAATCGCTTAGGGACAAGTTACATTTGTGTACCTGGGATTCAAAGAAGAAATATGGACAGTGTCGCCATCATTTAAAAACATTCTTCCAATTGCACTGAGTGAAAGATACTAGCAATGATGTCCAAAATCAACCTGAGTCTGAATCACAAATTTAAAGCAACACTGATATTTCAAGAATAAACAAAGGAAAGAAAGCAAATCAATGTGGACAGAAGCATGAAAAAAAAAGTCAAGAGCTTTTGGTGAGTTAGAAACCAATTTAATAATGACTTTCATATGGAGAGTTAATGCCATTTGAGGAATGCTACAAAGATGTTGGGAAAGAAATTAGCATTAGAACTGGGTATTTTCTCTTGGTGAACATGGAGAGAATAATTGGATTGAAATGACAAGACACAGTAGGTGATGATACTAAGTTTAGGATTAATAGAGCTTTATTGTTTTCCAAAATGTTAGATACTGAGGAAAGAAAGCAAACAGAGTTAGTGGTAACAGTGGAGGAGCTGGAGAGATGACTGGTGAAATTTTTTATCTAGCTCTTAGCCTGATGATAAAGACAGAATAAATTAACACAGGAAAATAACAGAGACAAAATAGTAGGAGAGCAAATTCCTCAGTATTAAAAAGGAGGTAGCTGTCATTACCACTCCCTGTAAAAAATAAAAGAATGGGTTGAAGTGAAACAAGATGGCATTGTGTAACTAGTAATACAAAGCTGAGAAATTTTGACTCCCTGAATTGCCAGCGATTTTTGTATCTACTCTTAGATAGTGGTGGGTAGTATGGGGAAGTGTGAATGAAGGAAGGAGCAGGTCAACACCAAAATTTTAGGTGTTGGAAAAGATTGCTGTAGCAATAAATCCTGGAATCTGGCTGTGTATGGGATAAGGTGTTCTGCATACAGCATATGACAAAGGGGTAAGAAAAAAATTTAGGAGTGTAATGAAAAAGTGAAAGGAAAGGAGAGAGAGAGAGAGAGAGAGAGAGAGAGAGAGAGAGAGAGAAAGTGTTGTGATGTCACAACTGGGATACAAAGAAAAGGTAAGGAATATATGGTCATAAGGCATTACTCCCATTTTCCATGTGCAGCATTCAATCAATTTTTAGATAAAGCAGTGCTGAGGATGGAGACGTGCTAAGGGAAATCCAGTTGAAACTATAGTGAGGTTGTCAATGCCAAGTTTTCAAGAGTCTGAGAAGCCATGAGTTGAAGTGTGTGTAGGAAATGAGAACAGCTTTGTGGACATGGCATTGCCCCAGGGCTTTGCAAGTGGCAGAGGACATGAGCTGGTGAGGGTCACCCTTTCAGGGTCATTGACACAGATACAAAATCTGATAATGGTTTTGGAAAGATGGTACAAGTGTCAATGCCAAATCACACCTTTTAGTTTTATGGCATATAGAGAGTTTCAAACTAATTAAGAAATATTTTAATACTTTGAGTAGAAGTAGTCTTTCCAGAAGAAGCCAACAAAATTTTTAAGGTTTCATTTTATGCAAAGAAAACCAACTGTGGTCCAGCAAGATAGCTCTGCAGAATAAACACTTGCTTAGGCAAGCACAAGGGTCAGCGTTCGATCCCTGGCACTGCATGCTACACCAGACCCACCTGAGGGTGCACTGATCCAGCCACCAAGACTGGGCATGATGATGCATGAGGAGGCTGAAAACAGGAGGATCATTACAAGTCTGAGCTGAGTAGTGAGACCCTGTACTAAATACTATGAATATATA